AGGGAGGGAAGGAGGGAGGGAGGGAGGGAGGGAGGGAGGAAGGAAGGAAGGGAAGCTGGAGAGATGGCTCAGTGGTTAAGAGCTTTTGAGGCCAGAGTTCAGTTCACATAACTCTGCCCATAACTCTACCTCCACAGGATTTAGCATCCTCTTCCATACTCCAGAGGTAACTGCATTCATGTGCACATAATGCCACACAGACACACAGGCAGACACAAATTAAAAATTAAAATCTTTTTAAAAATAGGCATTGATGCTAGTGTTAGATTTAACTAACCTCTTATAGGATCAATATTTTATTAACCAAATTTACTTTTATTTTGTCTGTTTTAAATTAAGAGTCTTGTTCTGTAGCGCACATGCATCTTCCACTATGTTGCCAGGTTACTCCTTTTTTCTCTTTTAATCAGTGTTACAAGTAGAGTAAGTGCCTGCTGTAAATGACACACATATTGAGTTTTGCAGCTTTACAAATACCTAAAGTTTCGGCAGTGCACATTTCCTATTAGCATTTCATCTGACAGATCCCTTCTACAATAAAGGTTCAATTGTCAGTTTAAAATAAAAACTATAGACAGCGCTAGATATTCTCTTAAGAAGTACAATAGTAATAAAGATATTGGACTGGAGAGATGGCTCAGTGGTTAAGAGCCTGTATTGGTCTTACAGAGTTTGGCTCCCAGCACCCACATCAGGCAGCTCGTAACTGCCTGTAACTTCAGCTGCAGGGAATCTGGCATGTCTTCTTGCCCCCTTGGGTACTTGCACACATGTAACGTGTTCATCTGAACACACACATTCACATAAATAAATATATATGCATAATTCTTAAATTATAACTTGTTACCTTTCATTTCCTTTTATCTTTTTTTTTGGAATGGTCATTCTTTGATATCTCTATTTTTTATTCAATTTATTGAATTTTTGTGCATTTTATGCAGAATATCTTTGGAATTCACACTTATCTAAAGAAATGTTGCATATATGTGCTATGCATACATATGACGTGCATACATAGCAAACCATATGCCTATGCTCCTAATTTTCATAGTTCAACAATAGTTAAAAGGAAATATAATATGGATTTTAATAGAAATATCTAAACAGATATTATTCTGATTAAAATGTTATATGTTAATCAATGAGTGTTGTCTTTAATGACATTTGAAATGTTTTCACTTTTAAATCATCTTTTTAGCTTAAAAGTTTTATATTTACTAAAAAATTATAAGGAGAGTCAAAGTTCCCTTTATACTTACACTGTTTAATTTATTAGGAATATCATATATATATAATTTTGGTATATTTGCTATGGCTAAGGAATCGGTATTGCTATGTTATTAACTGAGTTCTATACTATATCCAGATGTTCTTCGTTTTTACCTAATACACATTTTCTGTTCCAGGATTTCATTTAGATCTCCACATCACATTTAATATTCACATCTCCTTAGAACCCTCTTGCCTGTGACAATTTCTCAAAATTTACTTATGTTGGATCATTTTGATAGTTCCGAGGTGCACTGGTCAGCTACTTGGTGAAATATTCCTCTGATCAGTATTGTCTGGATTAGCCTGAGATTCTTTGTTTTGTGAAAGAAGATCACAGCATCAAGTGCCAATCTATGACACCACATCAAGAGTGCATCTTGC